GAACAACCCCTTTGGATTTTAATGTCAAAATTTTCAAACTAAATTTTCTCAAAACCCGTCCAAGATTTTGGATCAATTTTTTTTGAGATTGTAGCCCTTGATGAGGGCTATAAAATGGTACTCAGTTGAAGTCGCTGGCATCTACAGTTTTTGAGAAAATCGAGTTTGAAGTTTTTGACTAAATTTCAACTAAAATCCAAGTTTGAGGCTCAATTGCTCCAAAAGTATTGGAGATATCAAACTCAATCTAGCATTGATTTATAGAGAATTTGATGCTCTTTCCAACTATATATAATTTATTTTGATTTGCTCAAATTTTAATAGAAGTATTGGCAATTGCTCCTAGCCTTGTCAGGATTCAAAAAAAATTTAAACCTAAAAATTAAGATTTTCTTTTTAATTTTTCTCTGTGTTGAAATCAAGATTTTGTAATGATGTTAGAGTTTTTTTCGACTAATTTGGACCCGCTCTATCGATTGGAAAAGTTAAAATTCAAAAAATCTGAAAAATAAATATTTCGATTTTTTCAAAGGGTTGAACAACCCCTTTGGATTTTAATGTCAAAATTTTCAGACTCAATTTTCTCAAAACCCGTCCAAGATTTTGGATCAATTTTTTTTGAGATTGTAGCCCTTGATGAGGGCTATAAAATGGTACTCAGTTGAAGTCGCTGGCATCTACAGTTTTTGAGAAAATCGAGTTTGAAGTTTTTGACTAAATTTCAACTAAAATCCAACTTTGAGGCTCAATTGCTCCAAAAGTATTGGAGATATCAAACTCAATCTAGCATTGATTTATAGAGAATTTGATGCTCTTTCCAACTATGTATAATTTATTTTGATTTGCTAAAAATTTAATAGAAGTATTGGCAACAGCTCCTAGCCTTGTCAGGATTCAAAAAAAATTTAAACCTAAAAATTAAATTTTCTTTTTAATTTTTCTCTGTGTTAAAATCAAGATTTTGTAATGATGTTAGAGTTTTTTTCGACTAATTTGGACCCGCTTTATCGATTGGAAAAGTCAAAATCCAATAAATATGAACAATAAAAATTTCGAATTTTTCAAAGGGTTTAGATTTTTATTTCAAAATATTTGATCTTGGATATCTTAAAATCTATTAAAGATTTTGAATTAAAATTTTCAGGACATGTAACTCTTGACAAGAACTTTAAAATGATATTTAGTTAAAATCGCTAGCTCTTATGGTTTTCGAGAAAATCGAGTTTCAAATTTTTGATAAAATTTGGACTAAAAGTTAACTTTGAGATGCAATTGTTCAGAAACTATTCAAGTTATCAGAACCAATTTAGCATGGATTTATAGAGAATTTAATGCTATTTCCAACCATATATAATGTGTTTTGATTTGTCCAAATTTCGTTGAAGATATTGGCCATTATTCCTAACCTTGTTAAGATTTGAAAAAATTTCCAGAAGAAAAATTGAGATTTTTTAGCTTTTTGAAATCACCATTTTGAATGTGATGTTAGAATTTTCTTCGAGTAATTTAAACCCGCTGAATCAATTGGAAAAGTCAAAATTTCGAAAAGATGAAAAATAAAAATTTCGAGTTTTCGATTGGTTTGACTGAAACCCCCCATAAGCAACGCCACTGGCCAAACAAAATGCATGTTGCCAACTTGAAAAATAACCGGCCAATAGCAACAAGAGCCTGGAATAAACAGAAATTGAAATATAAAAAGGGAAACATATACATATAAATATATCAAAAGAACAAATACATATTTATATAAAAATCAAAGGACCTTACACACCACTTATGGGTAGTTGGTTTTCTATCAAACAAATGAAATTTGTATGTTAATGAAGTAAAATTTTAATACATTACGAGGGATGTTTATAAAGTGTATGCCATTGTTAAAAATATTCAAAATTGATCAAATTTCAAAATCACCAGAAATTGCCATTTTTCAAAAAGTTTTTCACCAATCACCAGATTTTTCATAAAATTACCAGATCTGGTGAAATTTCACCAAACCTGGCATCACTGCAAGTATGTTACATAAATAATTTTTTCCGTCCCCACTAGTAAAAATCCGGGCCCCGGGAATTTGTCCCGTCTACCCCCCCCCCCCCCTCTTGTCGTCCTGACTACGTGGTAGGTATAAATTTCAAGCAGATCGGTTCAGCGGTTTCCGAGTCCATGAAAAACGAACCAACAAACAAACAAACAAACATTGATTTTTATATACCTATTAGATATTAGATATTAGATTGTAATATAGCTGTACAAATTATAAGAATAATAACGCAAGCATTCGCCAATCTGCATGTGTTTTGCACGCATCCTCGTAAGGATGCGTAACCTATCCTGAAACCTTCCTTGGGATGGCTACAACAACTTACCAAAGTTTCATCGTAATGGCATAAGTGGTGTAAGAGTACATAAGGGACAAATAAACAAACAAACCTTGATTTTATATATATAGATAATTTTACACATCCTTCCCCTTGTCCTTTAAAAGGCTATAAAAACATAGACGTCAGGTACGATGGAATTCGGAAAGCTGCCTCCCATCTATTTTGAGCTGGATACGCCCTTGTTTACAAAAATCCACATATAGGGACACTTTATTTTTTGGTTAGAGAAATATTAAAGGGGTTGGATTGAAATTTTGTAGATTTATAGAAAATTCAATTTGCTTTAATTTGAACCTAAAATATTGAAATTATCGAAGTTGTGAGGCAAAATGTGTGTCGATGTCATTTTGGAAAAAATCGAATTCTCAGAAACCGACAATGAGGAATTATTAATTTTTTTTAAACGAAAGTATTTGAGAGATTCAATTGTAATTTTATAGATTTGTAGAAAATTTAATTGGCTTTAATTTGAGCCTAACTACGTCAAAATCGGATTGAAATTATCAAAGTTGTGAAGCAAAATGTGTGTAAATGTCATTTTCAAAAAAAATCGAATTTCCAAAAATTGCTATTCATCAGGGACACTTTATTTTTTAGTAAGAGAAATATTCGAAGGATTGAATTGAAATTCCGTCCATTTGTAGAAAATTTAATTGGCTTTAATTTAAGCTTAATAACGTCAAAATCGGATTGAAATTATTGAAGTTGTAAAGCAAAATGTGTGTGGACCTCATTTAAAAAAAAAAATCGAATTTTCAAAAACTGACATTCAGGGACACACAATATTGAAGGGGTTGGATTGAAATTTTGTAGATTTATAGAAAATTTAATTGCAAGACTAATTACGTCAAAATTGGATCGAAATTATCAAAGTTGTGAAGCAAAATGTGTGTAGATGTCATTAAAAAAAAAAAAACGAATTTCCAAAAATTGACATTCAGGGACATTTTATTCTTTTGTAAGAGAAATATTCAAGTGACTGGATTGAAATTCCGTACATTTGTAGAAAATTCAATTGGCTTTATTTTGAACCTAATAACGTCAAAATCGGATCGAAATTATCAAAGTTGTGAAGCAAAATGTGTGTGGATGTCATTTGAAAAAAAAAAAATCGAATTTCCAAAAATTAACATTCAGGGACACTTTATTCTTTTGTGAGAAAAATATTCAAGGAATTGAATTGAAATTGTATAGATTTGTAGAAAATTCACTTAGTTTTAATTCGAATTTTATTACGTCAAAATCGGATTGAAATTATGAGGCAAAATGTGTGTCAAGGATATTTTGAAAAACAATCAAATGACATTGAGAAATGTTCATGTTTTTTTTATTTGAGGAAAATTTTTGGGGAATTCGACTGAAATTTTGTAAGTGGATAGAAAAGAGTCTAAAATTTGAGAAAAAGACAAATCTTCTCATTTTCTTTTAATTTCAAGCTGTTAGGGAAGAAAAACCTCAAAGAAAACTCAAAAGCCTGGAATAAACAAAAAATTATACCAACAAAGGAATGGAAAGAAACATTAACTTTTATAAATTGCAACTTTTCTATTGTGCATAGTTTAAAATTCCATTGATAGCGGAGTAGTACCATTAGAGAGCATTCCAATTCTCATTTAAATATTTAATGTCTGAAGAATTTCAATTATCCAGATCAATGCAATTATTTCTCAAAAAAAAAAAGACTCTTACCTATATTGTTTAACATCTATTAGGGTCACAAAAGAAAAAGACAATGTTGACCCAAAGAAAGTATTACGCATCTAGAATTGAAAAAAAAAAACTAACTAGGTACTACCTGCTTGTTTGCCCCATATTTTTTAATGGTAATTCACTGATAAGCCATTGTTTAATTTACTTGTTTATCTGTAGGCAATTAAAAAAAAAAAAACGGCAAGTGCTTCACCGAGTAGCCATTAGTCACGAAAAATTAAGTGGTACTTTCTCATTTTTGAATAACACAATTAATCGAGAGAAGATTTAAAAGCGTTTTATTTCTGTATTTGAGTAATGAACAGTTTGTTTAAAAACTTTCTTTCGAATTTTATTAGAACATTCACACACAGTCTATGTGGACAATTTTTGAAAGAGATTATTGGAAAAAACTTAAGACAAAAGCAATCTTCTGGACAACTTTGCCTTATTTAGAATAAAAATAAGTTTCTCAGTTGATGTTTTTTTCAAATCAAGGCTAGAAAATTCTAGCTTGCTCATCAGATGTGATAAAAACAATAAGAATTCGAAACTGTTTAATTAATTTGTAACGTAATACATTTATATTAAACGCTGAACAAGCTAAAAGTTTTGTTGGAAATGGTATGAATTGCACGTACTTATCATATACATATAATTCGAAAATAATGATTTTTTGTTATGCTATCTTATTATTGGAATTAAATTTTCAAACAAATATTTGGTTGGAAATTTCAATGTCGATAATGATGATCCTATATTTTTCAAGAAAATTGTGTACTTAAAATTAATTAAGGAAAAACCATATTATTAAAGAACTTTTAATGAAGAAACTGATTTTGGTGTGTCTGGATTAGTCTTTTATAACAATTTTTTAAAAAATGTACATGTTGCACTTTTCTATATAATAATCATGGATTTGTTACCTACCAAATTCTCATCCTGAAAAGTCGGATTGACAAAATCGACGTGGATCATGTTGTTTGTTCGGCTCCGGCGATTTCTCTTTCAAATTCCAAACGAAACACCAAAAGTAAAAAAACCGAAAACGGTACTTGGCGTACACGAAACGTACTACACCCGAAGATGTGTGTCAGTAAGTACCGAGACCGTGAATCGATTTCAATGGAAATTCGTTGCCAAGGCGCGATCTTGAACTTAACTCGCAGAAGAGATTCTGAAAGAAGAAAGGTATCCTGCTACACCGCACACCATCATAAGGAGAAATGGTATCTTTGGAAAAGAAATGCCGGGGGAAATTTCGTATGTAGGTGAGCGAGGCGGCAAGTGCCATTGGAGCTTATATTTTTTGACGTCGCGGAAGTGAGAGTTTTGTTTCAAAAAAAGAACAGTTAGTTTTAATTACTGCTAGTTACTGAACTAATAATTGTTTCATGATGTTATTAGATTAGGTACTATGAAGCATACATATTTTGAAGGTCCGTGAAGTTGGCCCCTAAAGTGTTATTTTTTTTTTGGAAAAATATGTTGTTTGTTAGTGCTTCGTTAGTGCTTCTTAATTAGATAGATAGATCTTTATTAACGAACAATGGTCATTCACACAAGATACCTAGCTTAGGTTAAAGTTACAATGGTTAAAAAAATTTCAACTTAAATACATTTATAAAAAATATCACATTATGCAGATACATAGCCTAGGTTAAAGTAACAATGGTTAAAAAAAAAAATTTGTTTAAAAACATTTATATAAGATAAAAATATCACATTATGCAAACATTAGCAGACTACACAGTTAAAATCACAAGATAAAAGTCACAGAAACAACATAAATTATTATAATTCAGTCAGCTTACGTTTTAGTGTATTATAACTTATAGACAATAAATCTATATTATCAGGTAGGTAGTTTGTTGGCATTTCTGGCCATTCTACTTAAAGGCGAAGAGTACCCATAATTAGTGCTATGAAAATTAATAGAGAAAAGGTTGTTATTCCTCAATCTTCTAGTTGTATTAAAACTGAAAGAAGACAATAGTTCTGCACAATCTATTTCACCATTTATTTAAAAGCTTAAATAGGAAACATAAGTCAAAATTTTCTCTCCGTTTTTGTAGAGATGTGATGTTTAGAAGATTTTGCAATTTGTTGTAATTTATTTCATCTTTTGGTATTCTAAGTAAATACGCAATAAGTCTGAGAAACTTTCTCTGAACTTTTTCCAGCTCAGTTTCATAAGCTTGTTAGTGGGGAGCTCAAACAACGCAGGCATACTCCAATACAGAACGTACTACTGAACAGTACACATTTTTAATTATATTTATGTTGTTAAAATCATTCAACGTTCAGAAAATGAAACCAAGGAGTTTGAGTGCTCTGTTCGCTGTAGCATTTACATGGTGATTAAAATTCAGCTCGGTATCAAACCATACTCCAAGATCCTTAATATGGGTTTCTCTTGTTAACTGACAATTATTTATTTTGTAGTTGAAATGAATAGGTTTTTTAATTCTAGAAAAGGTTACAATTTTGCATTTATCTGTATTCAAAGCCAATTTATTTCCATGACACCATTGAGCTAACTTGTCAAGGTCTCCTTGAAAATCCAGACAGTCCTGTTGACATTTTATTTTTTTGTAAAATTTGCCGTCATCAGCATAGGTGAGAGAAAGGGAAGTTTCAAGTGAGTTGGAAATATCATTAATAAAGATATTGAAGAATAATGTAGACAAATGTCCACCCTGCGGGACTCCTGAGTTGATCTCAATCTCGGATGAAACATGATCACCAATTTTTACAGCTTGTCTTCTTCTGAAAAGATAACTTTCCATCCACCTAAGGAAAATGGAATGGACACCAACGGCCCGAAACTTAGAAAGCAGGATTCCATGATCAACCCTGTCAAAAGCCTTGGAGAAGTCTGTGTAGACAGCATCCATCTGTTCACGATTCTCCAAGGCTTCCAACAGGTGTTTCTCATAAGTGAGGAGATTAGTTTAATTAGTGCTTCAATTGTTTTCGTTAGTGCTTTTTTCTTTTTCTGTATATCGATTTTTTTGTAGTTTCAAGCTCAGCCCTGACAATCTGTCAAAATGAACGAAATTTGTCACTATGTTTTAGTGCTTCGTTAGTGCTTCTTAGTGCTTCAAATAGTTTCGAAAGTGCTTTTCTTATTTCTTAGATATTTAAGATTTTCACTTCAAGGTCAGCCCCCAAAAATTTTCCTAATTACCCGATTTTGGTGTCAGTTTTTAGTGCTTCGTTAGTGCTTCTCAGTGCTTCAAACAGTTGCATTTGAGAATATTTCCTTTTTGAGATATTTAACTTTAAATTTTCAAGGTCAGCCCTCAAATTATATGGGATTGAGTTAAATCTAGAATCGTTTTTTTGCGCATCGTCAGTGCTTTTCAGTGCTTCAGATAGTTTTCTTAATGCTCTTTCCGTATTCTGATTTTATTTTAAAATTACCACCCAAACTTGTTCCAAAATGTACAAAAAACACAGGGACGCCACCTCGGACGCCACTGGAGCCAACATTGGTTTATAGTATGGAGGAAATCAGGTGCCGGTGCGCTCTCTATCTCTCTCTTTTATGGTTATTTAAATATTTAGTTGTTTTGGAAAGGTCTATTTTAATTGGTCACTGTTTTAGCTGACGCTATTTCGTTCGTTCAGACGCAGTTTTGACTGGCGCTTTTTTAGCACCGGAGCATCTCACTCCGGGGTAACTCGCCTTTGTTTTAAATAGAATGGCTCTGTCATTAAATAGCGCCCAACGAGAAAGCGCACTTTACAAGTTGGAAAATGGCATATTTTTAACTATCAGTAAGTCAGTATCAGTAAATTTGATACCTGTGTCATATTCGATAATACCAGTGATGTGCCTGTAGACAATGTCAACGTAAACAATTGATTGTCTACGCGTAGACAATTCGAATTGTTTACGTGAGCATTTGTCTACACATTTGTCTACATGCGGCGTAAACAATAACTTATTTTAAAAAATTCGAAAAAAAATATCAAAAGTTACTATACTATCACTATCACTTCTATATCAGCATTCACTGATTATAAAATATCAGGAAAACCAATAATAAAATGAAAAAAATTTAAAAAAAGGAAAGTGTGAGGTTAGAATTAAACGTCATTTATATTATTTTACATTGTTGACACGTTGTCTACATTGTCTACATTGTCTACACGTAAAGTAGACAATGAAAGTCTACGTGTAGACCAGGGCCGTAGCCAGGGGGGGGCATTGGGGGGCAATGCCCTCTCTTTCAAATGATCATGCCCTACCTTTAAAACGCAACATGCGGGAAGGTTTCTCTAGGAAGTTTGAGAGCAGATGTATGCAACAATGTTTGAATTTTACACAGAGGAAGTTTTTCGTTTCGAAAGAGTGCAAATGCAAAGTTAATACGATAATACACACTACTACACGGGATTGCTTATCGGCCTCATTTATGGAAATTGCGGCCATATGGTGTAACACTATTGACGACATCATCAACTACGTCTTCAGCTGTTTGCGCGAACGGTCGTAGTTTAGAGTATACATTTATGATGAAAAATGTTATCATGGGATCATAACTTGTGGTGAAAACACCCTACGTCAAGGCGAGAAACGACACGCTGCCTACGTAATAACTGGTTCTTTGGCGTGGTGGGGGGCTTGAGATTTGATATATACACAGACAGGCCTTATGATGATAAGTTATCCTGTAATAGTAGTAGTAGTTATGGCGAAAACCATTGGTGAAATTAGTGCAAAAAAAAAACATGTATTTCTGTCACTTTCTTTTACATGCTAGTAGAAGAGGATACGAATGCATACTCAGTGCGCACTGGACTTACCAATGGATTTCACTATTAGTGTGAATTATCCTTGGTGCGAATGGTCCAATAGGCGGCACAAGAATCAGCGCCATTTTGTTTACTTGCCAGAGATGTTATTTATTGAAAAATTTGCGTTCGGCACCACCAAATTGTTTAGCAACGTTTACCTATAATTTAAGGGGGGGGCAAGTAGTGTATGCCCTATGTCAAATTTGTCATGAAAATGCAACTTAAAACCGAATTTTCGCGACGAACTACTTCCATGATTTCCTGAACACAAACGCTTTCGCGAGAAACTCATGACGTCATATTGAACGTAGTTCGACGGAAGCATGGACGCAGCTTCTATCCAGCTTTCAAACTCGTGACGTCACAGACGAACTATGGTTCGTTCTTGGATGAACTACAATCGTCACGAAAATTCGGGTTTAATTTGTTTCACGTCAAGCCGGTTGGATTTTATTAGAGCCAAATCTACATCCTAGGAAAATACTGAACGCAAGCATAACCTGAAATTTTTTTTACCGTACAACGCGTGACGCAGCACGTTATTGAATTGGGGATGCCAACGTTAAACAACATTACCCTAGCATGCGTGCCGAAGTGCCACTTCGCTACCAGATTGATTGAGGATAGGCCTTGAAAGTGCCCAAAAAAATATCAACTCTAGACAAAAATGGATTAAGATCTGCACGGAGCAAGAAAAGCAATACAAACGAAACGAACGCACTTTTTATATATAATATTTAATATGGATAATAATACAGAACTTACCTTAAAAGTACTTGACTTTTGACTTCTATTAGTTTTATTTAATTACAGAAGGGAATGCATAATATACAATGGGACAACTAAAATTTAACGACTCACTCACGACTGTCAACAGTGTCAACTAAATTACTATAAAAGAGAGATATAGAGAGTGCCCTTTCCCTTTCCTCCATTTTAGAGGAACCCAAGAATAATACACACCTACTTAAGGATTGCTTATCGGCCTCGTTTTTGGAAATCGCCGCCATATTGGTGTGTCACCATTGCCAACGTCATTAACAAGTCGTCAGCTGTTTGCACTGGAGGTCGTAGCTTAGAATAATTCAAATTTATGATAAAAAAATATTGTTTAATATTGATCAATATAATAGGCAAAGAGGAAGATGAAAACGAGATCTAAATAAAGGGTTGTTTTAGAATGTTAATTATTAATGTAGTAAAACCGTGAATAAAACCAAGTATGCATGAAGCCAAAGCCCGCGGAATCATAACGTGTAGTGCAAAAGGCCTACGTCCATCCCAGAAAGGACATGCCTACGTCACAACTGGTGATTTGGTGTATCCAGGGTTGCCAGATTTCAATTTTGAAAAAGCGGGACAGCAAATAGAAAAAAATGTCGCCAAAAAAAGGAAAAAAAAAAGAAAACAATATAGGTACATCCCCCCCCCCAACACGTCAAGAAACCGTAAAATGTACCGTCACGATTCTGAGCAAAGCCAACAATGTGTGCATAAAATTCGAAATTCGTATACAGAGTGGTTTCGAAACCGTTCATGGAACGGTTTTTGACGTGTTGGAACAAACCTAATGTCCTTGCCCTTGGAACTTTTTGAATGCAATAGGTCTGTTCCAACACGTCAAAAACCGTCCCATGAACGGTTGGGTAACCACTGTGTATACGAATTTCGGATTCTACGAACAAATTTCAGGGTTTGCGCAGAATCGTGACGGTACCCTGCTGTGTTGGATCAAAGTTGTTGTCAAATCCTAACTCACAAATGATGACATCCCCCGCTAACATTACTGGAAAGAGAAGGTATAATATAATGATATTATGGTCTAGGAAGAAAAAGAACATCGTTTTATGGTCGGCACTCGTTGTTGTTGACCGAACTAAAATGTTTGAAAGTAGACAACCCAAAATTTCTCTACAGTCGTTCGGCGTTGATCAAAGGAAATGCAGCCTAAAAAGGTGTTGTCGGCCGGAATGCCGGAAATCGGGATATAT